ACCACCATCTTCCCAGTTGCCCAGGCTCATGATTTAAGTATCATCTTCAACTCTTCATTTTCTTCCTTCTTATTTCCAATCAGTTGCTAAGTCCTGTCAATTTTTCCTTTGTGACATTTCTAGCTGATATATCTTCTCTTCTCTCCTCTGGCATTGCTACCACCTGTTGCAGACCATCGTCACCTCACACATATCTTATTGCAATAGCGTGCTGGTTGGTCTCACTACTTCAGGTCTTTCTCCACTCCAGTCCATCCCCCTCAGCAGTGATCTTCCTAAAGCTCAGGTCTGACCATGTCTTGCCCTCATTCAGTATAGTCGGCTCCCTATTAGTTTTAAGATCAAATATAAAATCCTCTGTTTTGCTTTTAAAGATCCTTATAAACCAGGCCCTTCTACTTTTCCAGTCTTTGTATACCTTGCTTCCTTTTGCATGTTGTGCAATTGAGCATGACTGACTTCCTCACTATTTTTTGCCCAGTATACTCCATGTCCTGATTCAGTGCATTTTCATTTTCTCATGTTTAGAATTCTCTCTCCTCATTTCAGTTTCCTTAAGGTCCCAGTTAAAATCTCACCTTGTGCAGTAAATCCTTTTCTCTGTGATCCTAGCTCCAATTTACCTTCTATATATCTTGTTTGTACATGGTTGTTTGCATAGTTGTTGTCTTCCCCATTAGACTGTGGACTCCTTGAGGTCAGGGACTGGTTTTTGCCTTTCTTTGTTTGCCCAGTGCTTAGCACAGTGCCCATCACATAATAAAGCTTAATGAATCCTTGTGGACTTGATTCCCACCTCATCATGCTGGGCCATCTCCAGTTGTCTTGACCTATATCTGGCCACTGGGCTCAGATGGCTCTGGAGGAGAAAGTGAGGCTGTTGACTTTGCATAGCCCTCCCTCACTTAAATCCAATTCACTTGAAAGTCATGGCGTCACCTTCCTGATGTCATGGTCCTCTTGGAAAACAAAGGACAAACAACAACAACAGCCTCGTCATCACTCTTCAGTTGCCTCTGCCCCTCTGATGGGAGAGCAGGAGGGAGGAGCAACAACTTCTCCCAGAGCCCCCATTTAAAGAGGGCTCCCAGGCAGCTATCTCGTCACTTCATTTTTTATATTTATGTCCCCAGCACTTAGCTCAGTGCTTGGCACATAATGGGCGCTTAGTGATGTTTTATTAACCGACTTGACTGTCAGCCTGCTAGCCAGCATTGCTGGTGGCATTAGCTACTTTTTGTTTGTAATATCAGAGGAATGACAACTTGGATCACATCGGATGAAATCCAGCAAATATTTATTTAAGCATCTGCTTTGTGTGGTTTCTATGTTAGACACTGGGGATACAAAAGTGACAGTCTCTTCCCTCAAGGAGCTTATATTCTGCTGGGAAGGTAAAACATGCTCACAGATGATTAAATAGAGTATATATTCAAAGCAGTTCTAGAGGTGAGAAGAGACTAACAACTGAGAGTCAGGAGAAAGCCCTTGTAGGAGCTTCCCCTTAAGTCACATTGGAAAGGAGATAAAGGATTCTGAGAGATGAGGGAGAGCATTCCAGACTTGCAGATGTAATAGAAAAGGTGTCCAGGGAAGAGCAGGTAGGTGGTTTTGGGAAGGTTGTATGTCTGAGGGGTATCACAGCCTTCAGCCTAGAAAAATAGGCTGGAGCCGGGCTGTGAGAGCTTTGCATGCCTAACAGAGGAGGTTAGGTTTTGTTTGTCCGAGAGCCATCGGGGAGTTGGCAAAACCTCCTTCAGGAGGGTGACATATTTAGACCTGTGCTTTAAGAATACTAATTTGGAATGCAACACCCATTCCTATTAAAAACACTAGAAAGCATAGGTATAAATGGAGTCTTTCTTAAAATAATAAATAGCATTTATCTAAGACCTTCAGCAAGCATTATATGTAATGGGAACAGGCTAGAAGCATTTCCAATAAGATTGGGGGTGAAACAAGGATGTCCATTTTCACCACTGTTATTCAATATTGTACTGGAAACGTTAGCTTTAGCAATAAGAGAAGAAAAAGAAATTGAAGGCATTAGAATAGTCAAAGAAGAAACGAAGCTATCACTCTTTGCAGGTGACATGATGACATACTTAGAGAATCCTAGAGAATCAAGTAAAAAACTACTTGAAATAATAAACAACTTTAGCAAAGTTGCAGGCTATAAAATAAACCCACATAAATCATCCGCATTTCTGTATATTACCAACAGAGCCCAGCAGCCAGAGATAGAAAGAGAAATCCCATTTAAATTTACTGTAGACATTATAAAATATTTAGGAGTCTACCTCCCGAAACAAACCCAGGAACTCTATGAACACAATTACAAAACACTTTTCACACAAATAAAATCAGATCTAAATAATTGGAAAAACATCAGTTGCTCATGGGTAGGCTGAGCTAATATAATAAAAATGACAATCCTACCTAAGCTAATTTACTTATTCAGTGCCATACCAATCAAACTACCAAGAAATTGTTTTATAGAGTTAGAAAAAATAATAACAAGATTCATCTGGAAAAACAAAAGGTCCAGAATATCAAAGGAACTAATGAAAGGAAATGCAGGGGAAGGTGGCCTAGCAATTCCAGATCTTAAATTGTATTATAAAGCAGCAATCATCAAAACTGCTTGGTACTGGCTAAGAAATAGGGAGGTGGATCAGTGGAATAGGTTAAATATGCAAGACACAGTAGTCAATGACTATAGTAATCTATTATTTGATAAACCCAAAGACCCCAGCTTCTGGGATAAGAACCCACTCTTTGAAAAAAACTGCTGGGAAAACTGGAAAAGAGTATGGCAGAAACTAGGCATAGACCCAAATCTCACACCATATAACAAAAAAAAGTCAAAATGGGTTCATGACTTAGATATAAAGGCTGATACATAAGTAAACTGGGAGAACAAGGAATAGTTTACCTATCAGATCTATGGAGAAAAGAAGAACTCATGACCAAACAGGAGATAGAGAACATTACGAAATGCAAAATGGATCATTTTGATTACATGAAATTGAAAAGTTTTTGCACAAACAAAGCCAATGCAGCTAAGATTAGAAGAAAGGTAGAAAATTGGGAAAGAATTTTTACAACCAGTCAGTCTCTCTGATAAAGGCCTCATTTCTAAAATATGTAGAGAATTAAGACAAATTTATAAGAATACAAGCCATTCCCCGATTGATAAATGGTCAAAGGATATGAACAGACAGTTCTCAGATGAAGAAATTAAAGCCATCTATAGTCATATGAAAAAATGCTCTAAATCATTATTGATTAGAGAAATGCAAATCAAAACAACTCTGAGGTACCACATCACACCTATCAGATTGGCCAACATGACAAAACAGGAAAATGATAAATGTTGGAGAGGATGTGGGAAAATTGGAACACAAATGCATTGTTGGTGGAGTTGTGAAATGATCCAACCATTTTGGAGAACAATTTGGAATTATGCCCAAAGGGCTACAAAGATGTGCATACCCTTTGATCCAGCAATAGCACTTCTAGGGCTATATCCCAAAGAGATCAAACAAATGGGAAAAGGACCCACATGTACAAAAATATTCATAGCAGCTCTTTTTGTGGTGGCAAAGAATTGGAAATTGAGAGGATGCCCATCAATTGGGGAATGGCTGAGCAAGTTGTGGTATATGAATGTAATGTAATACTATTGTGCTCTAAGAAATGATGAACAGGTTGACTTCAGAAAAACCTGGAAAGACTTGTATGGTCTGATGCTGAGTGAAGTGAGCAGAACCAAGAGGACTTTGTACACAATAACAGCCACGTTATGCAATGACTAATATTGTTAAACTGAACCCTTCTCAGCATTACAAGGATCTAAGACATCTCCAGAGTCCTCGGGATGGAAAATGCTGTCCACATCCAAAGAAAGAACTATGGAAGTCGAATTGCTATCACTTATTTTTACCCTCTGTTGAGTTTTGTTTCCTCTTTCTGATGGTTCCTCCTATTGGTTTTAATTTTTACTTACAACTTCACTAGTGTGAAAATATGTTTAATGGGTATGTAAATGTAAAGCCTATATCAGATTATGTGCCGTCTTGGGGAGGGTGGGGGAAGGAAGGGGGAGAAAAATTTTCAACTCAAAAACATATGGAAGTGATTATTGACAAATCAAATAAATTAATAAAATAAAAAAAGAATACTAATTTGGCAGCAATTCATGGGGTGCATTAGATAAGGGAGAGACTGGCTGAATGGAGACTTGTTAGTGGGGGAGAAGAAAGATGATGAGTGTCTGAATCTGGATGCTTAGGCCATGTGAGAGATGTTGAGAGAGAGAACTGACAAAACATGATTGGATGTGAGGGGTGAGTGAGAGGGAAGAGTCAAGGATGATTACCATGTTGGGAACCTGGGACACTGGAACACAACAGAAATTGGAAAATTAGGATGAAAGCCAGCTATATCCATTTGGGAGTCAGCTCAGGAGGGTTGATATTTCAGTCCATGGGGAGGCTGATGAGACTGAGAGGGAAACTCTTTAAATGGAAGGAAATAGTGCCTCATACCCTAACTAATTCCTAGCTAATATCCTCTTGTTGTAAGAGAAATGTTTTCAGAATAATTGGCAATTCATGAATTATAGGAGCATTGGTCAAAAAAAAGTTTTGAGTTTGGACTGTTAAAAAAGCATTTTTCATCCTACTGTTAAACTAAGGAAAATTTGCTCTAACATTCTTTCCTCCAATTTTTTTTAATTTTTTCTTTTTTTTTAAGACAATTGGGGTTAAGTGACTTGCCCAGGGTCACACCGCTAGTAAGTGTCAAGTGTTTGATCTGAGGACTTCAGGGCCAGTGCTCTATCCACTGCGCCACCTAGCTGCCCCCTCCTCCAACTTTTAAGCAAAAAAAGTGACCTTGATATATTTGAAGGTTAGATTGTTTCAGCCTCTCTCAGAGCCAAACATATTTGGGTGGATAATGGTCCTGATATATCTTCCTTTTATTTCTCCATGTAGTTGAGCAACTTACATTTGAAGGAAGAGAGAGTCAAACCAGATACTAATGGTGAGTAGCTAGTAATTATAAACAGAGCTAAAAGTGAAATGTGGCTTTATTCAAGGTGTTTTTCTCTGAACTTACAGCAATCATATACAAACATGGTTTGTATTAAACATAGCAGTTAATAAATGTCGATGTCAGGTTTAATCCTACCCCCGTCCCACCCTAAGCTAGATTTTTATAAGGAAACTTTAATATATTTATGTAGATACTCACTTGGCCTTTGATTATTGAATGTAATGCCAATGTTGTGGGGTTTTTTATTTGTAATATTTCTTTTTAATAAGGATGAATAGAACAACCAATGTACGAGCAACCAAAGAAAATGCTCATTCTAACTATTTTGACATCAAGTTTCTCAAGAAGGAGATTGGGGGCAGGGATCTCTGTAGCAACTTTCTCTGATGAAGGTGTGATTTCTAAGATAGGGAACTAAGTCAGATCTATAATGATTAGAGCTATTCCCCAATTCATAAATGGTCAAAGGATATGAATAAGCAGTTTTCAGAGAAAGGAAACCAAATTCTCAATACCCATATGAAAAAAATGCTCCAAATCACTGGTAATTGGAGAAATACAAATCAGAGCTTTTCTGAGACACTGCTTTATGCCCATTAGATCGCAAAGTTGACGAAAGAGGACAGTGATTGATGTTGAAGAGGCTACAACAAAAACAGTTCCACTAATGTACTGTTGGTTGAGCTGTGAACTGGTCCAATCATTTTGAAAACAATTTGGAACTATGATGAAAAAGCTGTTATTAACCAAATATGCCCTTTGACCTAGCAGTACCACTACTAGGTTTGTACCACCAGAAAGATCAAAGAAAAAACCCCACATATGCAAATATATTTATAGCAACTCTTTTGGTAGTGGCAAAGAATTGGAAACTCGAGGGATGCTCATCAGTTGGGGAATGGATATATGAGCTATGCTGTGTGAATGTAATAGAATACTATTGTGTTGATAAATCCTTAGGTCTTTGGTAGGGACATTTTTTTAATTTATTTTATTTATTTATTTTTTTAGTGAGGTAATTTGGAGTTAAGTGACTTGCCCAGAGTCACCCAGCTAGGAAGTATTGTGTGTCTGAGGGTGGATTTGAACTCAGGTCCTCCTGACTCCAGCGTGGGTGCTCTATCTACTGCCCCACTAGCTGCCTTTGTAGGGACATTTTAGAGAGGCTTTAAATATATGCAAATACAACACTTAGAGTAATTTTGTTAGTGTAGGAACCTACAAAGATACGTATAGGGTCGTGTTTGGAATATTATATAGAACAGTAACAGCCAAGAAAAATTTGGGGTGGGGGTGAGGTAAGAATGGAGAGCCATTTTTTCTCCCTAGGCTTTGACATCTTTCGTTGGGTGCAAGATTTGAATTGTCTTAACTCTTGAACATAGGATTTACTTTTGACTAATAATCTTTTGTCTAATTCTTTAGGTACTATTGTCAAATCCAGTGAAAATGTAGAAAAGACAGATGAAGAGGAGAAAGGTAACTGTAGTTTTAAAGTACGGAAGGAATAAAAGGATTCTATGAATTAGGTTCTTAAATTTAAAATAAAGAATTGCACTTATTTGTAAAGCGTCATTCTAAAAAGTAACAATATGAATCACGGGACAGATAAAGGAGCCCTAAACTTATAATATGTTTAAGTGATTGTACTAATGATCTGTATTTAAAGTAAATTGATAGGATCTTTAGCATCAAATATTTACTGAATCTCTGACCTTGTGCTTCCAAGCCTCAGCCTTGGATTATTCTCCCATCTGCTGCCTTTGTGTTACTGAATGAAGCTAGAGCAAATCATGAAACTGTGCTGACTGGGTCTACTACAGATCTATGTTACATAATCTCACCTGGGCCCTCATTGCAGCAAGGAAATCTTTTAATATCTCCCTGACTGATTAATTATTCCACTTACCACAGCAAAATTTCCAAACCTTCTCTTCTCAAACTTCCCATAGCTCCCATTTCCTCTACCCTCCGGGCTGAGAATCTTGTCTCACATTTCATTGAATAAATTGAGGCCATTCATTGAGAGCTGCCTCTACTGCTGTCTTCATCTCACATCACTTATGCCTTCTGTTACTATCTCTTCCTTCACTTCTGTCTCACATGAGGAGGTGGCTCTTCTCCTTGCCAAGGAAAAACCCCTGCACCTGCTCAGGAGATCCCATTCCATCCTGCCTTCTCTAGAAGATTGCTTTTTTCTGTCATCCTCACTTTTTCACTAGTCCTCAGTGGTTCCCCGTCTACTGGCTGCTTCTCTACTACCTATAATCATGCCCTTGCCTCCTCTATTCTCTTAAAACCTCTCTTGATCTGTCCTCTCTGCTAGCTATCATCCTGTATTTCTCCTTTCTTTTGTAGCTGAACATCTTGAGAAGGCCATATTCAGTTGATGCCTTTGCATCCTTTCCTGTCACTCTCTTCCTGTCTATCAAAGACATCCCCATCCTCCTAGTTACTCAGGCTCACAACCTAGATGGCATCCTTAACTGTTTATTTTGTCTTAGCCCCATATCCAGTCAGTTGCCAAGTCCTGTTCATTTTTGCTTCGTGATTACACTTTCTTCTCTGATACTACCACCACCCTGGTTCAGCCTCTCATCACCTCACCCCTGGACTGTTGCAGTGGCCTGATAGCTGGTTTCCTTACCTCAAGTCTCTCCCCACTCCAGTTCATCCTCCACTCATCTGTCAAATTGATCTGATCGTATCTCACACACATACACCCCTCTTCCAATTCAATCCCAGTAGCTTCTTATTATTTCCAGGATGAAATATAAAATTCTTTGTCTTTTAAAGCTTTTCATAACCTGACGGCTACCTACCTCTCCAGTCTTCTTATACCCCTGCACTCCCCACCATGTATTTTGCAATCCAGTGACACTGGCCTCCTTGTCATTCTCCTCATAAGACATTCCATGTCTTAATTCAGTGCATGTTTCCTGATTCCCCTTTAATGTTTAGTGATTATGTTTAATTTATCCTGGGGGGGGGGTATATGTGTGTGTGAGATGTTTGTACCTAATTGTTTACATGATTTTCCACCCATTAGACTGTTGAGTTCTTTGAGAATGGATACTGTTTCTTGCCTTTCTTTGTTTCCCCAGCACTTACCATAGTGTTTGTCACTCAACAAAGAATTAATAAATCCTTTTTGACTGACTGGTTGAGACACTAGACAATTTTTTTTAAATCCCCACACTAAAAAAGTGAAGTTATAATCATTACCAAAAAAATTGACCTTTGTGACAAGACGTGGATAGACAAAAGACATTATTGCATTATATGAATTTTACTTGTTTGTTAGTTTTCCATTCTGGTAGTTTGGGGTTTGTGGGGAAGACAAAGGATTGGCGGAGGTAGTAGGGAGAAAGGGTAGAAGAGGAAAGGTATCGATAAGGAAGAGCGAGAGATAGAAATACGAACAAGTGTTGTGGCTATTATAACATTTAAGCGCATGTGAACTGAATTTTCAGTTTTCATGAATCACTTTTCATCATTATTATATTCTTCACCATAGAGGATAGAGCTGCCCAGTCATTGCTAAATAAGCTGATCAGAAATAATCTTGTCGATAACACCAATCAAGTGGAGGTCCTTCAGCGGGATCCAAATTCCCCCCTCTATTCAGTGAAGTCTTTTGAAGAGCTTCGGCTGTAAGTATGTTGTCTTTCTAATTATTATTAGTCTGTCATGGCCGTAATGCCACACAAATATAGGAACTTCATTCAATATTTGGCCTTGTATATAATCTAGTGAAGATTTTAAGTGCCAGTGTAGCTAAATGTATTTATTCTGTCATCACAGCAAAATGTTTTCCTAATATCTTGGAAATTATGATAGGTTAGTGTGTATACTTGTTTTTGAAATAGTAAAGTTTTTAGGGGGCAGCTAGGTGGCCTAGTGGATAAAGCACAGCCCTGAATTCAGGAGGACCTGAGTTCAAGTCCAGCCTCAGACCAAAAACTTGAAACTTACTAGCTTGTGACCCTGGGCAAGTCACTTAACCCCAATTGCCTAAAAATTAAAAAAAAAGAAATAGTAGAGTTTTTAATTAACTGTAGGTGCTTTAGATGATGTTGCATGTTCTTATCTGCTAAGCATAAGTGTGACTTTTAGTATGGACAATTACAAATAAAATGTATATCATTATCATTCTTACAGGAAACCTCAGCTTCTACAAGGAGTCTATGCGATGGGTTTCAATCGGCCATCTAAAATACAAGAAAATGCATTACCCATGATGCTTGCTGAACCGTATGTATCCAATTGCAGTTTAGCCCTGTCATAATTTCCTTTTTTAACTCCTTTCATTAGTGTTAACTATTCCCAAGAACTGAAAAGATTGTTTTAGAAAGTGTGATTTCTACAGCATGATTTAGAACGAGTATGATTCTGAAGAGTATTTAACATCACTAATGGACATTTTAAATGTCAAAACTTGACACACAGTCATTTAAGTTTTGAGTGCCCCTTTTTGCTTCTTTAGAAATAGGTGTTCTGGTCCTATTTTAACTTGGAATATTCAGCTTCCACTCATACCAAAACAGTGAGACCTTTATCAGAGAAACTTATTGTAAAAAGTTTTTTCCAGTTTCTTATTTCCCTTCTAATCTTGGCTGCATTCGTTTAAAAGCCTTTTAAATTTCATGTAGTCACAATTATCCATTTTACCTCCTGTGAGCCTCTCTATCTCTTGTTTGGTTATGAAGTCTTCCCTTATCCATAGATCTGACAGGTAAATGTTTCCATGCTCCCCTAATTTGCTAATGTTGTCACACTTTATATTTACATCATGTACTCTTTTTTTAACCTTATTTTAGCATGTGGTATGAGATGTTGGCCCATCCCTAGTTTCCGCCAGACTGCTTTCAAGTTTTCCCAGCAGTTTTTGTCATATAGTGAGTTCTTGTTCCAATAGCTGGGATCTTTGGGTTTATCAAACACTTACTTCTATATATTGTGTGCCTGATCTCTTCCACTCACCAACCACTATATTTCTTCACCAGTGCTAGATTATTTGATGATTGCTTCTTTGTTCTATAGTTTGAGATCTGGCACTTTAAGGTCTCCTTCCATCACTTTTTTTTCCCATTGATTCCCTTAATATTCTTGATCTTTTGTTCTTCCAGATGGATTTTGTTATTATTTTTTCTAGCTCTATGAAATAATTATTTGGTAATTGGATTGGCATGGCACTGAGTGAGTAAATTAATTTAGGTAGTATTGTCTCATTTTTAGGCTTGGCCTGCTCATGAGCAATCAGTATTTTTCTGATTGTTTTAGTTTGTCTTTATTTGTGTGAAAAGTATTTTGTGATTGTGTTCCTATAGTCTCTACATTTGTCTTGGCAGGTAGACTCCCAAGTATTTTATACGGTCTACAGTTATTTTAAGTGGAAATTCTCTATCTCCTAGGGAGTTTTGTTGATAATATATAAAAATGATGATGCTTTCTATGGGGTTATTTTATGTCCTGCAGCTTTGCTAAAGTTGTTAATTATTTCAAGTAGTTTTTTAGTTGATTCTTTAGGATTCTCTAAGTATCATATCATTTATAAAGAGTGATAGTTTTGTTTCCTTATTGTCAATTCTTATTCCTTCAATTTCAATTTCTTCTTTTATTTCCATAGCTAGCATTTCTAGTACAATATTGAATAATAATGATGATAATAGACATCCTTATTTTACTCGTGGTGTTATCGGAAAGACTTATTGTTTATCCCTGGTACAGATAATGCTTGTTCTTGGTTTTAGATAGATACTACTTACCATTTTAAGAAAAGCTCCATTTATTCTTGTGCTTTTTAGTGTTTTGTTTGGTTTTGCTTTTTTGCTTTTTGGTGAGGCAGTCGGGGTTAAGTGACTTGTCCAGGGTCACACAGCTAGTTAAGTGTCAAGTACCTGAGGCCGGATTTGAACTCAGGTCCTTCTGACTTCAAGGTCAGAGCTCTATCCACTGCGCCACCTAGCTGCCCTATTTTTTAGTGTTTTTAATAGGAATGGGTGTTGTCTTTTGTCAAAAGCTTTTCCTACATCTCTTGATGTAATCATATGGTTTTGATATGGTTAATTATGCTTGTAGTTTTCATAATATTGAACCAGCCCTGCATTCCTAGTATAAATCCAACCTGCACATAGGATGTGATCTTTGTGATGTATTGCTGTAATCTGCTTGTTAGTATTTTATTTACAAGTTTTGCATCCTATGACTAATATGGAATATTTTTCATGACTTCATGTGTATAATTGATATCATATTGCTTGCTTCTCAATAGGTGGGGGAAGGACTAGAGGGAACAAGAATTTGGAACTCAAAAATAAATAATTTTTAAAAAATAAAATTTTTACATCAATATTCTTTAGGGGAATTGGTCTATATTTTTTCTTTCTCTGTTTTTCCACTCTCTGGTTTACATGTCAAAACTATATTGTGTCATAGAAGGAATTTGATAGGACTCCCTTCTTTGTCTGTTTTTGTCCTAATCATTTTTTTTAAAATTTAAGCTGTTTAATAATTCCTGCCCTTTCTTGACCTAGCCCACAGAACCTGATCGCTCAGTCTCAGTCTGGTACTGGCAAAACAGCTGCGTTTGTGTTGGCTATGCTTAGCCAAGTGGAACCTTTGAACAGATACCCCCAGGTAAGGGTTTGGTGGGTAAGTGTTCCCTGACAGTTTGAATCTGGAGAAATGTTGCCACATGTCTCAGTTCCTTTAACAGTAAGTATAGCAGGGCTCCCTCAGAAGTGGATCATTTTTACCAGTGTATTTTGAAGATCTTCCTGGTCAGTTACTAAGCTGTTACACATTGCCTTCTCTACTACCACTTCTTAGGGAGAACAGCCATTAGTGGTATCTCCCTCACTTCCCCAATAAGCCTTTGGGACAATGCAAAATAATTCTTTTCTAGGGTTAAGGTGGAGAGTTAAGGAAATGAATCTCTAAAATGACACCTCAGACTTGTCTCAGGCAAGAATTTTGTAGTTCTTTGATCCCTACCTTAGATAGAACAGATACTAAAATACCAGGAGGTGAGCAATTCTGTGAGTTGAGGCTCCAATGCAGATGTACTTTAAGGCTTCTATTAGCCAGAAGATATGTAAATGATGTGTAAAGTCAAAAATCACTAAGTAACCTTACTCCTACTAAAACAAAATGTCCAAATGTTTCCTTGAACTGTGTACCTTGGAATTCTGTGTTGCTGAATGACTTTGTTAAATTACAAGGTGCATCTCTTAATTTGTATTATTTTCTTTTCAGTGTCTGTGTCTGTCACCGACATATGAGCTGGCGCTTCAGACAGGAAAGGTGATTGAACAGATGGGCAGATTTTATCCAGAACTTAAGCTTGCTTATGCTGTTCGAGGCAATAAATGTGAGTATACAAAGAATATGATATAATATTTAAGCTTTAAAAAATTCTATTGGAATATGTGTACTGTTAGACTTTTTAAATGCCTTGATTAGTTTTGCCAAACTATTTTGTCTTTTTTTTTTTTAAGGGCTGGCTTATCTGGGAGGGGAAAGGGCAAAGGAAATTTAGGTAATGTAAAAACAAAAGATAATCAGAAATTTATTTAATAAAAAGAACTATAAGAAAACAGTGGAGAGATTTTCCTCCTGTGCTATAAAGCTTGAAAAACCATTAAAAGCCAATTAATGGCAGTGATACCTTAAGTAAGTAAGCTGTTAGTAATGCACATTTTAAGTTAACTTGAACTTGAGGTGAGAAAAATAAAACAAAATAAAACCTGCTACAAGGTACTTGTCAGTATCAAATCTCAAACTCTTCTATGAAGGATAATCATTAAAACTTTTTGGTACTTGTTCTGACAGAGATTTCACTAGTGGAACTGGTGACTTAACATAGCATACAGAAATAAGCAAAAATAAGCCCTCAACTCTTGGGTACTGGGGAAAGGACTTACTAGGTGACAAAAACTGCCAAGAAAACTGAACCTGTAGTCTGGCAGAAATTAAGTTTAGCCCAGCATACCAAGGTAAGTTCCAAGTGTATGCATGACTTAGATAGACAGAGTCCTGTCATAAACAAATTAGAATCAGAAGCAATCATGGTCAGGATGGGGAATGATAAGGAAGCATATCTGAAGGCCATGCAAGTTTTTTTAGGGCAGATGAAACTAAGGTTGAAAAAGATAAGTGATAATAGAGGCCTGTGATGGGCAGAAAATGAAGGGGTTGGACTACAAAGAGATCCATGTCAACTTTTTGCTTTTAAGACAAGGGGAACTTTTTACTTTTTTCCCTTTCATAGTTTTTTCTTTTAGTGTCTTTTTCCTCAAACTACATAGCCCTGGTTTTTAGCATGGTATATCTGTGTGCTGATCATAGAAAACTTGAGAAATACTTTTTTCATACCTTGGCCTGTGTAATTTCCTGGTCTCATATAAGTTGCCTTCACTGTCCAAGGCCATTATGAACTCAGTGCTCAAGGGAATCTGAAGCTGTAACTCAGATAATCTCAGATTCTGTCTCCCTTATTTTTTCACTGAAGTTTTTAATTAATTAATTTTTTGGTAAGGCATTCAGGGTAAAGTGACTTGCCTAGGGTCACATAGCTAGTAAGTGTCAAGTGTCTGAAGCTGGATTTGAACTCAGGTCATCCTGACTCGAGGGCTGGTGCTCTATCCACTGTGCCACTTAGCTGCCCCTACTATTTTTGTCTTTTAATTTTATATTTCTTTTATCATCAGCTTGACAAACATCAACAAACATGAACATTTCTATTTACAAAGAAGCTTGCGTATCAAACTAAATGTCTGTTAAAACCAGCTTTTCCCTGGACTAACTATAGACCGTGATGATGAAAAGGATGGGTAAGACATGAAATATTTTAGAGAGAGAACCTATAGGACTGGGTGACTGGTTATAGAGGCAGTATGGCTGAAGAAAAGCAGAGTGCAAACTTGAATTCAGGATGACCAGGGTTTGAATGTGGCCTCAGACACTGATACAATATACAAGCCACTGAAGTTTGATGAGCCCCGGTTCCTCGGCTGTGATGGGATGTCACCAGAGTACTTAGTGCAGAGGTGGTTATGAGGAGCAAATGAAATGAGATGTATGTAAAGGGAATTTACAACATTGAAGAGCCATGTACATGCTTGCTACTGGTGTTGATGTTGTTAATATCAAACAAAAGGAAGACTTACATGAACTTTTCTCTACCTCCTTGTTTGTTTGGTCTTTAATTTCTTTTTATCCGGTGTTTGTGAACAGTGAAGTGCTATAGTGATAATTTATCCTTCCCGTTAAGATAGCTTTGTTCAAGTATATCAGTGCAGTGTTTTTATTAATAATCATCTGATGATGGAAACTCTCATGGAAAGTTTATTGTTGATTCAACAGTAGAAAGAGGCCAGAAGATCAGTGAGCAGATCGTAATTGGCACCCCTGGCACTGTTCTGGACTGGTGCTCCAAGCTGAAGTTCATCGACCCCAAAAAGATCAAGGTGTTCGTTCTGGATGAAGCTGACGTGATGATAGCCACCCAAGGCCATCAGGATCAGAGTATCCGCATCCAGAGGTATGAGGCACTGATGGGAATGGGGGGAGGAAATCACCTTGGAGTGTAAGACTAGGGATGGTTTTTTGTGATGGCTTCTGTAACTCAAAAGCCTACCTTTACAATCCATGTGCATAGGTGCCGTTGTTGTTCAGTCACTTGAGTTGTGTCCGATTCTTGGTAACCCTATTTGGAGTTTTCTTGGCAGAGATACAGGAGCGTTTGCCATTTCCTTCTCTAGTTAATTTTACAGTTGAGGAAACTGAGGCAAATAGGGTTAACTGATTTGCCCAAGGTCACACAGTTAGTGTCTGAGGTCAGATTTGAACTCATGTCTTCCTGACTCCAGGCCCAGTGCTCTATCCACTGCGCCATTTAGCTGCCCTTAGTTCATTCCCCAAGAGGATGCAGATTGATTAACCAAAGGTAGTTATGTCTTTGTATATCTTTATAAATAAATGTAACTTCATTTATTTGGAATAATGTAATTATGATATAGTCTTAAACCATGAGGAATGATACAGTGACTTTTCCATAACTCTCCCACTTTTAGGTATTCCTCGGGAGAGATGTAAAGGGGAATGCAAAGAATTGGCACATGAATTAATCATCCCAGGGTCTTTTGAATGAATAACTAAAATAGTTATTTGGAATGGTCTAGCTCACTAGATTAAAGGAAGCAAATTTTTGTGTGTGTGTGTGTGTAGTATATAACTAGAGCCTTGTAATATTTGTATTTTGCTCTTGGTGTAATTTGTTGAACCTAGTAAGCTATGTAATGAGTTAATTTGAAGAATGTTAGAAAAATCAAGTAGGATGCCCAATATCACTAATATTATTCAATATTTTATTAGAAATGCTAGTGATAGCATAAGAAAAGGAAAAGAAAATCAAAGGAATCAGAATGAGCAGTGAAGTAATTAAACAGTCTCTTTTTGCAGACAAGGTGATGATATACTTGGAAGATCCTAGAGATTCAACTGAAAATTCAGCTAGTTGAAATAATAATTTTAGCAAAGTAGCAGGATATAAAATAAACCCATATAAATCATCAACATTTCTATATATCACCAACAAAACCCTGCAAGAAGAGATAGTAAGAGGTGCTCCATTTAAAATAACCGTAGGCAACATAAAATGCCTGGAAGTATACCTGCCAAGAACTACATGAGCATAATTATGAAATACTTTTTATACAAATATAGTCAGATTTAAATAATTGAAGAAATATTAATTATTCATGGGTGGGCAGAGCCAATATGATAAAAATGACAGTTGTACCTACACTAATTTACATATTCAATATTCAATGCCATCCTATTTTTAAAAAAGTTTTTTTTTAGGCAATTGAGGTTCAGTGACTTGCCCAGGGTCACATAGCTAGTAAGTGTCAAGTGTTTGATCTGAGGCCAGATTTGAACTCAGGTCCTCCTGACTTCAGGGCTGGTGCTCTATCCACTATGCCACCTAGGTACCCCAATGCCATCCTAATTAAATTACCAATAAATTATTTTATTGAGCTAGAAAAAATAATAACCTAATTCATTTGGAAGGACAAAAGGTCAAGCATATCAAAGGAATTAATGAAAAAAATGTAAAGGAAGGAGGCTTAGCAGTACCAGGCAGTAATTGTCAAAACTATCTGGTATTGGCTAAAAAACAGAAAGGTAGATCAGTGGAACAGAATAGACATACAATATACAGTTGTAAACAATTATAGTAACCTTGTGTTTGACAAATGTGAAGATTTAAGCTTGTGGGATAAAAATTCATTATTTGGTTAAAAAAAATGTTGTGAAAACTGGAAAGCAGTCTGACAGAAACTAGGTATAGACCACTATTTTATACCATTTACCAAAATAAGGTCAGAATGGATGCATGACCTAGATATAAAGGGAGATAGCATAAGAAAAACTAGAAGAATGTGGAACACATTGCCTATCAGATTTATGGTTAGGAGAAAAGTTTATGAATAAACAAGAGAGAGAACATTGTGAGGTGTAAAATGGATAATTTTGATTACATTAAATTAAAAATGTTTTGTTTGTATACAAATAAAATCATTGTAGCCAAGATTAGAAGAAAAGCAGAAAATTGGGGAAAAATTTTGTAGACGGTTTCTTGGATAAAGGTCTCATATCTCAAATATATAGAGAACTTTGTCAAATTTATAAGAATATGAGTTATTTCCCAGTTGATAAATGGTGAAAGGATATGAACAGGCAGTTTTGAGATGAAGAAATTAAAGCTATTTATAGTCATATGAAAAATGCTGTAAATCATAATTGATTAGAGAAATGCAAATCAAAACAACTCTCAGATAGCATCTCATACTTATCAAATTAATAAAATGGTAGGAGAAAATGACAAATGTTGGAGGGGATGTGGAAAAATTAGGACACTAAAACGTTGGTAGAATTGTGAACTGATCTAACCATTTTGGAGAGCAATGTGGAATTATGCGCAGTGTTATAAAACTGTGTATACCCTTTGATCCAGCAATACCACTATTAGGTCTATTTCTCAAGGTGATCAGAGAAAAAGGAAAAAAATCTGTCAACTGAGTGGAGTGGCCTCTAACCTGTGGGGGCCAGAGCTGAACAGAACAGGCTAGAGACAGAAGAGTCAGGAATCAAATAGAAGTTTAATTTCAAAGTGAGGGAAAAGGCTTGTAAGCAAGGAAGGACCTCGTGGCTGTGTGGGGAGACTGATGGCTCTGAAGTGAGCTGTAACCCTGACAATGGGGGGTAACAGCAGCAGTGAGACAAGTTTGTCATAGCAGGTCATAGTTCTTGACCGGGACAAGTTCCTGACAAATCTATATATTCCAGAAATATTTATAGTAACTGTTTTTGTGGCAGCAAAGAACTGGAAATTGAGGGGATGCCCATCAGTCGGGGAATGGCTAAACAAGTTGTGGTATGTGATTGTGATGCAATACTGTTGTGCTATAAAAAATGACCAGCAGGATGGTTTTAGGAAAATATGGAAAGACTTGCATGAAGTAATGAAGAGTGGAACGAGCAGAACCAAGAGAACTTTGTATACAGAACAGCAATACTGAAGAGTAACTGAATGACCAAGCTATTCTGAATATGACAAACATTCAAATCAACTACAGAGAACCCGTGATGAAAAATGCTATCCAATTCCAGAGAAAGAATTGATAAATAGAAGTATGCATAATATGGTTTTATACACACACACACACACACACACACACACACACACACACACTGGGGTGGGGAGTGAGGGAGATAGCTTGGAACTTAAAATGTAACCAAAAAAAACTTTAAGAAAAAAACCAAGACAGATAAGTATCATGTATATGGGGAAAAAATAAAAGGAAAGAAGGAATTTTAATTAGTTATAGATGGTGTGAAAAACCAAAAGTACAGTCTTTGTTAGCTTGTCAGTTGCTGATTCATTTGGTTCTGCCTGTTAAATAAAGGTTATGGATTTGGGGTAAATCCTTGCTTTTTGGTTTGTATGTTGATTCGATTGTTTAGTTGACACTGATTTACTTTAAGTTTAAAAAAAAATTAGAAGATCGAGTAGGTGAATCACCTATCACACCATCCAACTTCTTGACCATAGGATGATAGATTTTAAGCTGGACAGGACCTTAGAGATCAGGTAGTCTGACACCCTCCCACCATTATTTTATAATGCTCTACTATTGAGAGTTTACTTTAGTAAGTTTATTTAAAAGAGGCTTTTTTTTAATTACTGCATATAAATAGGACTTAAACGTTCACATTGTATGATGCCATATGAAACTTAAGTATTAGTCACTTGGTTTTCTTTTGACTTATTCTGGTATAGAGAGGGAGATCTAGATCCTTGAATCCTGCTTGTCCATTTTTGGCTTGTTTGGCTGAGTCCTAGGATGAAGGAGAGACTTGGGGAATCCTTATTCTCTACCATGTTTTGCACCGCCACAGCTGTACAGCATTCTGGGACATAAGGAACGCAGTAACCTGTGAGGGCCGTGCATTCTGTATTCCTCCAGTTCAGGACTGTAGTTAATGCTGAATACTGTGGGCTTGCCTTTTAGGATGCTCCCTAAGGCTTGTCAAATGCTGCTTTTCTCTGCTACCTTTGAAGATTCTGTGTGGAAATTTGCACGGAAAGTTGTCCCAGACCCAAACATCATCAAACTGAAACGAGAGGAAGAGACGTTGGACACCATTAAACAGTATTATGTGATGTGCAATAACCGTGATGAAAAGTTCCAAGCCCTTTGTAATCTTTATGGGGCCATCACTATTGCTCAAGCCATGATCTTCTGTCATGTGAGTAGCAGCCAGCTGTGACCCCAAGTAGGTAAAATTCAACTTGTGTGTTGTCAACTTGGCCTTTGCCTTTTCGGCCAGAAATTTATTTACTAAGGAATTATAATAAGAAGAGAAATTCTCTGCAGCTCCAGAGTTTATCATTAGTGTGAGGAAAAACTAGGGGAAAACTAAACCCATGTGTGGTTTCTCTTTTTTGCAGCTGTGCAAAAAAAAAGCTCCAAAATATAGATTCTTCCAGATTATTTTTGAAACACTCAGAGGCGTTTTAATAATTTTAACTCTCAGTTGCCTTCAGAATTAGAGCCTCCATTTATTTCAGTGACCCAAAGCCATTTTTTGCAGGTGTTTTAATTGTTTTTGCAGGTGTTTCCATTTTAAAAAATTCTTTTCACTCCAGACCCGCAAAACAGCTGGTTGGCTGGCAGCTGAACTATCCAAAGAAGGCCACCAGGTGGCCCTCCTGAGTGGCGAAATGATGGTGGAACAGAGAGCTGCTGTGATTGAGCGTTTCCGAGAGGGCAAGGAGAAAGTGTTGGTGACTACCAATGTGTGTGCTCGAGGTGAGAAGAGACTGCCCCATGTGGAGGCCTCGGGCTTGGGAAAGAACAGGAGGGCGGCTGTGATCCCCTTTCTAGCAAGGGCAGTTTGGGTTTTCCCAGAGCCTCAATCAGCAGCTCCCTCTGCCTTTGCAGACATGGTCTGCTGGGGGTTGGATTGCCCTCCTTGACACTGCTGAGTACATGGTCATTCCCCCCAGGCTACAGACATGATATCTGAGCCTGCAGGTGGTTTGTCTGGGGTCAGCAGCTAGATGATCCTCTTGGAATTTTCTGTTCTTGATGTCATGGAGCTCTCCTGATCTTGAGCTGTAGGAGAAGAGAACTTGATCAGCATCCTGATCCAGGGTTCTGGCTCCTAGGTTTTCCTACTTGCCTCATATTTGCTACTCATTTGCTTAAATAGCTCCAGTGTTGGCTGTGGCAAATTGATAGCATCAGGCAGTTTGAGATGGAACTCCCTCCCCTTCAGACCATCCTCCAGGTGGGTCTGGGAGAAATCCTTGAGTCCTTCAAACCAGAGAATCACTTTGGGTGAATCTGATCCTTTTTGTAATGTCCATTCAGGTCATACTATTTTATACCCATAGGTATAAAATCTTGTTTTGTGGGTACCAGCTGCTGGTGCTAGATTCTCACAGATTAGACCATGGGTGTCATGCGCTTTTTTTTGTCTGCTTTCCCCGTGTCTCCTCCATCTTCCTGCACTGTAGGTATCGATGTTGAACAGGTGTCTGTGGTTATCAACTTTGACCTGCCAGTGGACAAGGATGGGAATCCAGACAATGAGACATACCTGCATCGGATTGGGCGCACGGGACGCTTTGGCAAGCGAGGCCTGGCCGTCAACATGGTGGACAGCAAGCACAGCATGAACATTCTCAACAGGATCCAGGAACATTTCAGTGAGTGTCCCAGGGCATGTGCCCTCTGTGGCTCATTGGCTGTTAAGTGGGCAAGCCCAGGGCTCTTGGGCAAGGGCCTGGGTCTCTCCTCCTCCATCTCCCTCCTGGTTGTTAGAGAAGTAGGGATAGGAGAGAAGAGCAGGATCCGCTCTTTTGTCCCAGGGCCAAAGCCCTTACATGCGCACGTCCGGGTTGTCGTGTGATGCTCAGTTGCTTCAAGGTATCATCAATCAGATGAGGAAGGAACATCTTGGCCCGGTAGCTGGATATTGCTTTTAGGTAAAGCAGAGGTTTGTAGGTTGTCCTCGTGTTGCAACAGTACCTGAAATAGACTCTCCAAGGTGGCCCTGGTTTGATTCTCTGTGGTTTAATTTCTTTGCAGATAAGAAGATAGACAGATTGGACACCGATGATCTGGATGAGATTGAGAAAATAGCCAACTGAAAAGCATTGGCTAGAGTTGACCTACACCCTCTGGATGTGCATCTCCAGCTCCATTTGGACTATTTGTTTTTCAAATTGGCATAATTCTCAGCCAGTCACCAAAAAGGACTAAGGCGGGAATACATAGAAATTACCTACCTCATTTCAAATTACGTTTGGACTTAACAAAAAAAAATTGTGCAAATAATGGGGGGAGGTAGAAAGAGAAAAAATGTTTACACGAGCTCGTAAGATTAGGCATGAATACACAGAAATTACCTTTCTGGCAAATTTCTCTCTTATTTAAAGTTTATGTGTACCAATCTTAAATGTAAACTAAGGACGTGTCAAAGCTTTAGTTAGTCTCTTGGCCCCCTTGTGGTAGTGTATAGATGTCTCTTCTTTCGCCTAGGATAGGCATGTATTAGTGTATGTACCTGTCTGCATCTACCTGGAAAATTGACATTGTAGAAGTTAGGAGGAAACTGAGTGGCAGGAGCTCTGTAGTGCCAGCCACCAGGGCTGAGCCATGCTTCACTATTTGATTGGGTGGAGTAAGGGAATCGGATGTGTTTTATGAGTTAGATTTACTAGGCTAGGATGATGGAGCAGATCTGGGATATCTTTACCCATGGTATTTCCAGCCAGGCAAAGCAGTAAGGAATTGGCTGAAGACTGACAATTTTATTTAAATTTGGAACCTTTCTTACATTTAGGTTTCTTTAAGGGACTGACTGGTGTACTGGCATGAGTCAGTGCCATTATACTCCCTGTGGCCTGCTGGTGCCTGGTAGACAATATCTTTCCAGCATCCCTAAAATGCCCAGGATCCTTCTAGTAGTAACAGATGGAAAGTAGACAAATGGTCTTAGATCTGTTCCTTTCCAGCAGAACCAGACACTAAAGTCTTTGGTTTCTATGACTAGACTGGAAAAGACAGAAGGAAATATTTGAATGAGATTGGAAGACACCGTGGACACCATAGCCAGCGATGGCCACATATTGTCACGCTGGCATTGCTGTCTAGATCCAAAAGGTAAGGCTTAGGAGGAATCACCTGAGATATATGGTATCCTTTCCAAATATTGATTCTAACTTGGTGTCTGAGGTGGCTGGTATGCAGATACCTGCAATCATAATTAGAAGTGGACTAGAAATACCCTTTTGATGACCTGTTTCATCTTCAGGCCTAATTTCAGACTTATTTCTGTCTTATTCATCAGTGGTAACCAAAAAACCACTCTGGGGCCATCTTGCACTGAAACTTTTACACTGGTAATAGTAATTTGCTCTTTCTAGTATCTGAACTAGACTGTGTAGTCTCTTTCAACAATGACAGAAGGGCAGGAACAGTGTGGAGCCCCAACAAGGATAAACCACAGCTATCTGTGTGCTTCAATGTTGCCACCCCCTTGTTCCCCCAGGATTGGATATCTTAATCTAGGTTTCTCCTCTGTTGGGTCATTCAAGAAGAAAAAAATCCCAATTCTATTGAATAAGTAGCCCAGACTGGTGCCTCTCAAAATAGCATGGCCTTCCTAAGCTCACATCCAAGGAAAGGAGTGGGAAGCATAGCTGTTTGGTGGATATAAGGCCTTTTGGTGGTCCTGATCTCCTAAGCAGAAGAGATCCAAAGGAAAGGGTGAATGAACCCACTGCAGCTTTTGCAGAAATGCTGCTGCTTCTCTGACCCAACTTTCTCAACCTCAAAAGACTAATTATTTTTATCATTGAAGAATTGCTCCAGACACCAGATATAATTGCTATAAATGGATTCTGAGCTTCTCTAGATAGGGGGGTAGATATGCAAGATAGTTTATTATATCTATGAGGTACACTCATGGCACAGCTTGCTTTATAGGTGTCCCCATCTCTTGGGTTATAAAGCTTCTTTCTCTCTTGTACACTGTTGGTGAGAGGCAGAACCCATAGGATCCTTTAATGGCATCTCCTTCAGTCTAAGAACGGGCATATCTTAATATCTGCTCTTTTGAGTACTGATCAGTGTGGGCTACACTTACATAAGAAAGCTGATCCATCATCTTCAACCTTTTAATTGATCTTTCTGAACATTTTTCCTTGACTTCCTTGATGCTTTGGGGTCCATTTTTCCTCCTCACCTTTTTCGCAACCCCATTCTTAAACACAAGGGAATTTCAAACTAATCTTTACCTTTCCTCTTCATAAATGAAGCTAAGTGGACAGAAGGATGGTTAGGGTTGAGATAATTGTCTAACCTAATGGAAATATGGTTAAAGGACAGGGAGAGCAGGCTTCCTACTGGGGTGTTGGCTGGTTCTCCCAGCATGTATCTCAGCTGCTATTTTATCTTGCAGATCCAAGAGAGAAACAGTAGAGGACAAGGGCCAGTGACCCTCTAAACGATTCTCTAGCAGGAGGGAAATTAGGAAATCTAGGAGGTGTAACTGGGTCTGGTCTTTTTTCTCCCTTGAATGCTATGTGCTTCTCCTTTATTGTCAGTTTCTTATCTTTGCCTTTTCTGTCAAGCTGTCAAGCTTCTTGAGAGCTGTGGACTATTGCTGCCTCCATGTGGGTTATGGCCTTCTTAATGAAATCTGCTAAGGCATGTAGGACAAGGCCTTGGATGCTATGAAGCATATGTGGCAGGGAAGAGAGAAAAATGAGTACAGTAGTCTAGAACTGCTTTAGTAGGATCGTTTCTGGTTCTGACCTGTGCCTTTGAGCAGAGTTGCTAGTCAGCACTAGTTAGAACTCTGTATACTGCCTGTCGATAGAAACAATGTCTTCATTGGCCACTTGAGCATCATATATGACTGTATGGATAAAAAAAATGCCCAATTGTATATCCATTCCCTACTTTGTTACATTAATAGATTTTAACCAATTATGGAAAAGGTGTTACTAAGGTTTTTTTAAATTTATTTATCAATATAGGAAGATGGGGAACAACATGGTTTTAGTTGCTGGATTTTATTTGATTAGCCCTCTATTGTTGACTCCTGTTGATACATGGTTTTACAGGTTTGTGTATCTGCTGAAATTATTATTCTGTACCTTGAACCCTAGGGTGGCCACTGTATCAAAGACTAAATTCACAGAAACTCAAATCACAAGGACATTTTGGTCAGCCCCTTTTGGGGGCCTCACACTCCTGATCTCTGATTAAAAAAAATACCAAAAGGATATTGGCACTGCAAGCTCTTCAGGAAAAAAAGGCAGTAAGAGTAAAATAAAATGTCATTGTGTTCTACCTCCTCAGCCCAGGGAATGGAGATGGATGAGGCTTCAGGGTTGTTTTATTACCACTTTTTTTTTTAATTAACATCAGGACTGTTGTATAATGGTCCAGGAATTGAGAGAAATTTTTTTTTTTTAATCATGAGATTAGTCAGGGAAGAAGACTTCATGAAAGAGAAGAATTTTGAATTTGGCTTTGAAAGAGCAATATAGAGTTTGGAGTAACAGGAACTGGAAGGGCATGCTCGGCAGACAGATGCTGAGTCTGTACACAGCTGAAGAGGCAAGGGTAAACATGGGATTTATAGAGGGACCAAAGGAAAACAGTGAATCCTGGGGAGAACAGATTAGGTACTTGAGGTATAAAACCTTACAGAGGAAGGGGAATTGGAACTTGGTAGTCAGTAGGAAATCAGAAATCCTTAAGGGAGTGAAATGATGGGATTGGTCTTCTAGGAAGATTAATATGGAGGAAATGAGGGTCATCTCCACAGGTTCTGGTCTTTTGTGAATACTTACATGCCCAACGTCTCACTGATGCCTTGGCCTAATAAGCTCCCTTGATGTTGGGACCTATGGGGGAGAAGACCTAACTATAATAGCTTTAGTTGTAGAAGGTGAGTGGAGGAGAAATTTAGGGAAGCCTTTCAGGTATATTTTAGCTCTCAGATCCTCAGCTTTTAAATACTTTAACCCCCTTCACCTTTACTTTTAACTAAAGGGACCTAAGTAGGAGTGAAGGAAAGGCCAGACTGAAGGCCTTCCATCCTTGTAAACAGCCTTATGCCTCAGCATGGAGTGAGGGCATGAGAGACCATGACAGAGGGGTATTTTGTGCGCTCCAGGAACTTTCTGAACTTTTAAAGACCCCTGTCTAGAGATGAATACTTTGGGGTTAATTGCACTGCTGTGTGACTAGACCTCAGCTCTCTACCCAATTTACTGAACTAGAGGAGATGAGAATATCCAGTCTGTGGGCTCTGTGGCCCCAGGAACTGTGTGTCCATTGTACCTCTGAACTGGCTTATTGTTACTACTCCTAGAAACCAGGAATGAATGAAAACTCAGCCACATATTTTATGCATAGAAAAAAATTTTGATTAAACCAAAAATCTGTTACTGCATTAAATTCCTGGGGAGAATTGCACCCCAGGTCAAGAGAAATTCTGGGAATGGTTTTCTTAGGAAATACTCAGCCCTGCCAGCCCAATGGAAGTAGGCCAATTCTCAATAATGTGTTGGTTGTTAATTTTATTAACCTATAAGCTAAACTGAATCATACTGTAACAGACAAATGTTTTATTTTTTAAACAACAGAGACTTAATGATTTTTCACTTCTCTGGACAACACCCCTTATACCATTCATTGTTGCCTTTTTCTGAACATCTTGATGCTGGAGGGGATGGTTTCAGACAGAACCCGGATACCTGCAAAGTACAGAAAACTGACATGGTTACAAGTGAGTCTCACTATATGCACCATTAGTCAATCTCTCTGGGCAAGTCAGTGCTAATAGTTTTCTTAGGCCATCTGTTAATTATGGCTCACATTTATGTGCTGAATACATAGCCACTCAGTAAATACTTGTCAAATTTAAGTAACCTAGGCCTTCTACTTTGGAGCATGCCAGGTAGTTAAGATGTCACGTAGAATAATAAGTTAGATTGGGAGTATTTTATTCTGGAGTCATCTGTGGGGACTAACCTCCTTAAAATGTGAAGTTCATTTATCCAGTGAATGTCTTGTCTTCAAAGTCATAGTGGCTTCTTGTAGAATGGGTTGTGTATGAGCAGCAGAAATCATGTAGGTCTCACATCTCTTCCATGCTTCCTGCTTGAGAAATCCCTGAAGCATATTTCCCCTTAGCGCCCCATTTAATCCACTATAAAATGATTTGTGAAATGTTTTATTTAGTGCTCTCCAGAAGCTTCACAAGTATGAATGAATTAATAGAATGTACGCTCCTTGAGAGTAGGGATTGTCTCAGTCTTTGTATTCCCAGCACAGTGCCTGATACGTAGTAGGTGCTTAATAAATGTTGATTGATGTATTGGTTGGTGGATTCTTTTCAAGTTGCTGCCGCCAGGGGAAAGTTCCAAGGACTTGACATTATCACCATTATTTTAACTATAGCCAGCGGGGTAATTCTCTGCAGCTATTTGTCTAAAAGGAAAAATAAGAGAATGTTGATAACGTTTCTTTCCCTTTATTAAAGACCAATAAAATGCTCCTTCCTGTCTTTCAGGTCAGATTCTTTCACAGTTACTTCTTCTGCCCCAAGATGTCTACCCAGAAGAGGTCAGGCTGCTTTTGGTGTCCCTTCCCTTTATCTGGTTGGCTGTCAGCTTACCCATCTGATCCTAACCTGTAGTATTTCCCAAGGCCGGGGGTTCAATGGCAGCTGGAGCTATTTTAACTGCCATTGCCAGGGGTGGGGGGGGAAGGTCAGGAAAAGTGGCCAAGCCCCAACTGAGGTCCTGGACTTCTTCTTACCCTTTCTGTGGGGGGTGTAAATATTGCTGTTGAGAATGATGGGGAAGCTAAGTCAAAATGGATCCCATTTGGCCTCAGGCCCTTTTCTCACCCACCCCAAAATTGATGGCAATATGGAAGAGTAAAGAACTGTGCTTTATGGGCTCCATTTTGTAGAAAGCTGTGAGGATCAGAGAATGGATCTTGAGACCCCTTGTTGACTAGGAATTATTGACTTCTTTTGATTGATTGAGGGATTGATCTAGCTGGATCAACTGTTTCTAAGTCAGCAAGGTGTAATGGCAGAAGGATTGGACTTAAGAGTCTGAGGACCTGGATGTGAATGGTAATGCTACTTCAGGCTGTGTGACCTTGCAGTGACATCCTCCTCCTACCCCCAACTTGCCTTCCTCAATTTTCTCTTCTGTAAAATGAAGGAGTTTGGACTGGATGATTTCAGGTCCCCAAACCCTATAAACTAGGAACTCAGAAGTCTTCCTAAGTAGATAGCCTAAGTTGGAGTCTTTAACTTATTTCCATATCAAGAAATCAGTGAAATAGAAAGATCTTGGGACCAGAGGATTTGGTACAGTAAGATAGAGTTTTAGAACACTGGACTATATTCATACCAATTAGCATATATTGTATATCTTTGGATATACAAGGTTGGGGTAGAAAGGAACTTCTAACTATATTATGGGGTTCCCATTGAGCCAGAGACCTAGTGTCATCAATACTGCCCTACAACTTGACTTCCAATGGGAAGGGGGCTTTGTTACCAATTTGCTGTCAGTCCATCAGTTTGGGGGAGAGGAGCTCGGCAGTGGTACCGTGACTGACCTGCATTAACTTAGAGGACTGATTTTTTTCCACTGTGATTGACCAGTTGGGATGCCCCTGTCAGATGCATATGGTACCCCCTTAACTTACCTGGTTTAAATAGCTACCTACAGAGCCTGCTCATCATTTCCTGTGGTGATGTTGGAGTTAAATGAATACAGAGTAGTTTCTGGAATAATCTAGTCACTAGACTAACCCCAAATTGTTGTAGTGGAATTCTGTTAAAATAAGTACAGTTAATCCTATCATGTTAGGGACGAAAGCTCCAAGAAGTTATTGGTGAACCAGAAAAAAACTTTTTATTAACAGCTGGCAGTGTGTCCCATGTATGGGCACACTCTTGAGGCATGAAAGCACAGTCTTTTTATTCCCTATTCAGAAATGGGAAGTCCCTCCCCTGATTCCCCATTGGCTGGGTACTACAGAGGTTACAACCTATCCTAAGCTTCTGATGATTTCTTCAGGTGAGTCTCTGCCCCTAATTACATCTCCCCATTCCCCACATTTCCTTAACAGCCTACAGCTGTCGATACCCCTGCAGCTACTTATCCCCTTAATGAGTGATGTGCAGAAGTAACATTCCCAACCACATTTTCCACAATCCTCCCTTTTCCTTTTATTTACTCTGTTAAGCCTGCATCTTAATTCGTATTCTAACCATCCCGTTCCATCTGGGGCTGTGTTGTTGGGCAACATTTCATCAAGGGGTTTTGAGGACTTTAAAAATATGGGAGAAGGGAGGGAGAAATTGACTGTCACATTGACAAACTCAAAGAGAAAAAGTAACAATAGTCCATTTAAGGCATGCAGCTGTCTGATTGGTGTTCTGGACATCTGGTGAAGTTTTCTGGTCTAAGTGTTATTCAAGCAGTGTCCAGAAGACTGTCTTCTTATAGAAATCCTTTTTCTTGTGTCCACTCTCCCACAAGATTGATTTTAACACAATTTTAAATTACCTGGCCCTTACGTCTCTATTACCATAAGATAAAAAATTGGAACCTCAGCCAATTGTCATGTTTAAGAATTCATTCTTCATTATTTATATTCCCCATCAGGAAGATGGGATTCCACTAAGAAATAACAGACTTCAATACATACATAATAAAACAGTTCCAACTTCTGATCATGTACAAATAAATAACCCTTAATTAAAATGGATGCTTCTTTTAAAGTATTTACAATATAGACTGCAAGCCATTCTTCTTTTCAACATTAACTAATTGTAACAAACCCAGACAGCTAAGATTAAGTAACAGAATAATATCCTTGTTTCCCAAGCCCTGAGCCTAAGTATCCCCATACCATTATGGGGAATTAAAATGTAAGAAAAATTTTAGGGGGTTAGGCTTCCACAGCAGGATAAGAAATTCTAAAATCTTGTGAATAGTCCCTGAACCAATCAGAAAGTGCTCCAAACTTTACTGTAAACAACTAGTTCCTAAGAAAGAAGCCTAAGAGCAGCTAGGTGGTGCAGTGGATAGAGTACCAGCCCTGAACTCAGGAATACCCGAGTTCAAATCCAGCCTCAGATGAAACATTTCACACTAGCTGTGTGACCCTGGGCAAATTACTTATTGCCTAAATATTTTAAAAAGATTTTTTTAAAAAGAAAGAAGCCTAGAGGCCAAATTGGTTGCAACCAGCCAGGTTTAAGGACAGGTCTTCAACAGGGCAAAGGCTTTTCTCTACTGTGCTTGCTTAATAAGCTTATTGAATATGAACTGACACTCCCCAAGGGCAGAGATAGCCCCCATTTTTGAACGAGGGACCTATGAAATAGGTGGAGTTAACAAGACATGCGAGGGGCTGTCCAGGAAGGGTGTAACTCAGATGAACCAGACCAATCAGCCCCGATGGGTGGAGTGTGGATTTTTACTAAGGGTTTAAAAGTTGATTCTACCACTGAACTAGGTGCCCACATACTACTAAAGTGCATTGTGCCCGCATCTCTCACTGTAGTAGATTTTTGTTTCAGGTTTTTCTAACAAAAAGACACTAACTTATCTAAAATTCTAGGCCAACTGCATTGAGTCAGGTGTCACAGTGGGGAAATTGAGTCAGGAGAATCCTACCTCAGCTGATGCTGAATAGTCATTCTCCCAGCCTCCCCACAAGAACACCCTCTGCAGTTCCTGGCTCTAAATAACTTACTTCCTTAAGAGAGCTGAAACTACCCAAAGCATTTCATCTTCCTGGGAGTTGGAGGCTCATATATATATAAGTTTTACAAACAGCTTAAAATCACCGGTCATCACTCAGGTTAACTAAGAGTTTGATTCGGACAACAGAGGAATTTGAATCAATCCTGACAGGGTGTGGTCAGTTTCTCTGGAGGGTATTAATACCTAACAATTTGCAAATCAAGAGAGCAGTATTTCCATACCCCCCCCCCATAGTCTTCACCAATAGCTTTGAGATCTGATTAAACCTGAATTCAAACCCTTAGCTTTTCCCTTTCTGTTCTTCCTATGTTGGGCTGTAAAGGCTGTTTGCCACACCTTCCACTAACTTCTGAGAAAGTCTTTCTCTGCTTTTTCATTCCCAGTGTTCTCTAACTACAGACCTTTGTTTTAAAATCTCACCACAGACGTGAAACATTTTACAAACACACACAGAGATGGAAACTGCTGGACAAGACAAAGTACACACTGATCCAATTTCCTTGTTGGCCTTTTAGGCTAAGTTAACTGATATCATCTATGATCTTTCTTATCTTTCTATCGTCTCTCTTCCCAGTATTTCCACCTCTTCCCTAAGGGACTATTTGGAGGAATGTCCACAGGGGTCTCCTTATTGCCCCTGGTTTCCCTGGTGCCTTTGCTTATTTCCCATCTTACTTATTTGTCTGAGACTGACTAAGTCTCTGGACCCCAGGAAGATGCCCCACACCAAGGTAATACTTAGTAGTCTTCTTTTCTTACCTTGGTCCCAACCACCAAAACAATTTTTTTTTCTTCTTGGCAAAGATTTTATTTTATTTTTCATTTTTTATTAATTTATTTTAATTTATCAACAATCACTTCCATAAGCTTTTGAATTTTAAACTTTTCTCCCCCTACCTCCCCACCACCCTCCCCAAGATGGCGCACAATCTAATAGGCTATACATACATATTCCTATGAAACATATTTTCACATTAGTGATGTTTTAACTAAGAATTAGAACTAATAGGAGGAACCACCAGGAAGAACAAGGACACAACAGAAGAAAAAAAATAGCAAATGGTATGCTTTGGTCTGCATTCAAACTCCAGAGTTCTTTCTTTGGATGTGGATAGCATTTTCCATCATGAGGTTTCTGGAGATGTCTTAGATCCTTGTATTGCTGAGAGGGGTTAAGTCTATCAAAGTCCGTCATCACTCAATGTGGCTGTTACTGTGTACAACATTCTCCTGGTTCTGCTCACTTCACTTAGCATCAAACTATACAAGTCTTTCCAGGTTTATCTGAAGTCTGCCTGTTCATCCTTTCTTATGGCACATAGTATTCCATTACATTCATATATTACGTTCACAATTATGATTACTATCTGTGTCTTTCTCTCCATCCTTTTTCCTCCCGTTTGTTTTTCTCCTTTCCCCTTCTCACTGATGTTTTGCTTTTGACCACTGCCTCCCTCAATCCCACCTCCCTTCTATTAGCCCCCTCCCTTTTCTTTTCCCTTTTCACTCCTACTGCCTATAGGGCATGTTAGATTTCTATGCCTGATTGTTATTCCCTTCTTGAGCCAAATCAGATGAGAGTAAAGTTCAAACAATGCTTATCTCCCTCCCTTCTTTCCCTCTGCTGTAATAGGTTTTTGTGCCTTTGCCTGCGATGTAATTTACCCTTGTCTAACCTCCTTTCCTTTTGCCTCAGTACATTTTCTTAGATCAGATTAATTCACTTCCTTGGATCCATTTAACACACTTAGATTTTTTTCACCATTACATCAAAGTCAATTTATACCCACCCCCTTTATGTATATCCCTTGAACGTTGTGTAATAACAATAGAGTTCTCACGAGTTACAAGTGTCATCTTTCCTTGTAGGGATGTAAACAGTTTGCCCTTATTAATAACATGTTGTTTCTCTCTGTCCAGTTTACCTTTTGTCTCTCTTGAGTCTTATATTTGAAGATCAAATTTTCTGTTGAGCTCTGGTCTTTTTATCAGGAAGGTATGGAAGTCCCCTATTTTGTTGAATATCCATCTCCTCCCCTGAAAGATCATGCTCATTTTCGATGGGTAGTTGATCCTTGGTTATAATCCAAGCTCCTTTGCCTTATGGAATATCATATTCCATACCCTATGGTCTTTTAATGTAGAAGCTGCAAGGTCCTGGGTAATCTTGACTATGGTTCCATGATATTTAAATTGTTTCTTTCTGGCTGCTTGCAGGATTTTCTCTTTGACCTGGTAATATTGGAATTTGGCTACTATTTCCTTGGTGTTTTCAATTTGGGATCTCTTTCAGGAGGTGATTGGTGGATTCTTTCTATGGCTAGTTTACCCTCTGGTTCTAGGACCTCTGGGCAGTTTTCCTTGATGATTTCCTGAAATATACCGTCCAGGCTCTTTTTTTCCACTGTGATTTTCAGGTAGTAATTTTAAAATTATCTCTCCTGGATCTGTTTTCCAAGTCAGTTGTTTTACCAATGAGGCATTTTACATTTTCATCTGTTTTTTCCCATTCTTTTGTTTGACTGATTCTTGCTCTCTTATAGAGTCATTAGCTTCCATTTGCTCAATTTTAATTTTTAACAAATTGTTTTCTTCTATTAGATTTTGTACCTCCTTCCCCATTTGGCCAACTGTATTTTTTAAGGACTTGTTTTCTATAGTTAATTTTTGTCCTTCCTTTTCCAAGCTATTGACTCTCTTACATACCTCTCATTTGTTTTCCCATTTTTTCTTTGACCTCTCTCATTTGACTTTTAAAATCCTTGAGCTCTTCTAAGAAGGCTTTTTGGGCTTCAGACCAGTTCATATTCCCTTTTGAGGTTCCAGATGTGGGTTTGTTGACAATGTTGTCCTTTTCAGAATTTCTGCCTTGATCTTCACTGTTCCCATAATAAGAATCTGTTGTACGTTTCTTTTTGTTCATGGTGTTTGCTTATTTCCTGGCCTTTAAAGAGATTGGGCTCTCCTGCTGGGGAGCAGAGGGCACTGACCTAAGCTTCTTGTGTTGGGAGCCTAGGACCTGGTCAATGGCTTTGTGTGCTGGGGCCTCCAATGTTGGCAGTTGGAGGCTGTAGGATTCTGGCAGCTTACCTGGTGTTGGCTGGAAACAGTACCACCAGAACTCTAGGGGTAGGATTGGGTAGTGCGACTCCTGGAGATTTCCTACTCACCCAGGCCTTTCCCTCCTTTTTCTTTCTTCAGTTCCTTTCTCAGATGAATGTTGTAGTGTGTTTATCCACCTGGGGCCCCTTGGAGGGCTGCTTCCCTTAGTTTTGCTGAAGCATTGGGAAGAGTCAGTTGCTGTAGAATGCTGAGGCACCTTGTGGTTTTCTGAGCTGGTTTCCAACAGTTTTCCCCGCCCTCAATGAAGCACTCGGGGGTCCAGGTGTTGGTGTTTGCCTGCTCCACCACCTGGGCTTCAGGATCTCCTCCTAGTATGCTGAGGTGGGTCTTTCTACTAGCTTGCTGGGATGCCTCCCATTCTATACTGCTCCCCTTCCCCCAAGGTAAAAGGGCCCTTTACAGTTAATTCCTCAAGCTACCTGGGCTACTGGACTGGCTGTACCCCACCTTTCTTCTGATTCAGCTGTTTCAAGGTTTTTCCTGGGGTGATATTTTCTGGGTTTTCAGGGGTTAATAAGAGAAGGTAAGAGAGACTCACTCTTACTCTACCATCTTGGCTCCGGGAAGATGAAGCAAAACAATTTAAAAATTTTATTATTTTGATTTATCAATAATCACTTCCATAAGCTTTTGAGTTTTAAATTTTTCTCTCCCTCCCCAAGATAGCGTACAGTCTGATATAGGCTATACATATACATTCCTATTAAACATATTTTCACATTAATGATGTAATAAGGAAGAATTAGAACTAATAGGAGGAATCACCAGAAAGAAGAAACAGAACAGGAAAAAAAAAAAAGCAAATAGTATGCTTCAATCTGCATTCAAACTCCATAGTTCTTTCTTTGGATGTGGATAGCATTTTCTATCATGAGACCTTTGGAGATGTCTTAGATCCTTGCATTGCTGAGAAGGGCCAAAGCCTATCAAAGTTGGTCATCGCACAAAGTGGCTGTTACTGTGTACAACATTCTCCTGGTTCTGCACTTTCTACTCTGCATCAGTCCATACAAGTCGTCTCAGGTTTTTCCTGGGGTCTGTCTGCTCATCATTTCTTATAGCACAATAGTATTCCATTACATTCATATACCACAACTTGTTCAGCCATTCCCCAATTGATGGGCATTCCCTCAATTTCCAATTCTTTACCACAAAAGAAACTGCTATAAATATCTTTGTACATGTGGGTGCTTTTCCCATTTGTATGATGTCTTTGGGATACAGCCCTACAAGTGCTATTGCTGGGTCAAAGGGCATGTACATTTTTTTAATAGCCCTTTGGGCATAGTTCCAAATTGCTCTCCAAAATAGTTGGATCATTTCACAACTCCACCAACAATGCATTAATGTTCCAATTTTCCCACATCTTCTCAAACATGTCCCGTTTCATCATATTGGCCAATCTGTGATGTGGTACCTCAGGGGTGTTTTGATTTGCATTTCTCTAATCAATAGTGACTTAGAGCACTTTTTCATATGACTATAGATGGCTTTAATTTCTTTATTTAAGAACTGCCTATTCATGTCTTTTGACCATTTATCAATTGGGGAATGACTTATATTCTTATAAATTTGATTTAATTCTCTATATACTTTAGAAATGAGGCCCTTTTCAGAGACATTGGTTATCAAAATTTTCCCAGTTTTCCATTTTCCTTCTAATCTTGGTTGTATTAGCTTTGTTTGTACAAAAATTTATCAATTTAATATAATCAAAATTATCCACTTTGTATTTCATAATGTTCTCTATCCCCTGTTTGATCATGAATTCTTCTGTTCTCCATAAATCTGATAGGTAAACTATTCGAGGCAATACTTAATATCCTCTTTTCTTACCTTGGTCTGTGCACAGAGTTGCCTGGTTGCCCAGTGCTTACTTTCCCCTTTCCCTTTTTGTTCCTGGTTCAAGGATGGCCTCACTCATTCACTAGGTCCTAGGATCTTGAACAGTCCATGAACTGGTTCACCTGCCCAGGACACACAGGACTGTTGAAATCAACAGGATGAGTTTTCTCAACCTTCCTTGAGTTACCCCTCACTCAGGATATCTGAATCCCAGACGAGTCCCAAAAGCTCCAAGAAGCTATTGGTGAACCAGAAAAAACTTCTAACAGCAGGCAAGGCATCCCATATGTGGGCACACCCTGGAGGCGTGAGAGAACGAAGCCTTTTATTCCCTAGCAGAAATGGGGCGTCCCTCCTCCGATTCCCCATTGGCTGAGACTACAGAGCTTACAGCCTATCCCAAGCGCCCAATTTCCCCAGGTGAGTCTCTGCCCCATTCCCCACATTTCCTTGTCAACAACCTTCCCCTATCAATACCCCAACAGTTATTTATCACCCTGATGAGTGACATGCAGAAGCAACATTCCCAACCACGTTTTCCACAATCAGATTTAGAGACCTAAAATTGAAGGAAGTCTATTCTTTTAAATAAAATAGTAGTATAACCCTAGTGCGAAGCTAGGTGGCACATTGGGTTGGGAACCACCTGTCTCAGACACTAGCTGTGTGGCCCCCGGCAACTCATTTAACCCTGTTTGCCTCAGTTTCCTCATCTGTAAAATGAGCTGGAGAAGGAAACGGCAAACCACTTCAGTGTCTTTGCCAAGAAAACCCCAAATGGGGTCATGAGTCAATGACGGCAGAAAAACTACTAATTATTTCTTGATAACTGGGCCAAAAAAATCGGAAAATGAGTTTAAAATTATTTCCTTTAAGATTGTTTTGTGGTGGGTGTGGTTTGGCCCTGTAATTTCATTAGTGTAGTGGGGGGTCTCAGTGGGGGGGTCTCCTACGTGTTTAGGCATGGGTCCCGCTAGTTAGGGTCGTAGAGCATTGCTTGGCCAGGGTCACACAGCTATAATGTGTCCGAGGAGGAACTCGAATCCAGGGCTACCTAACTCGGAGGCCGTGCAGGCACTACACTCGGCTATCTCTACGGGATTAATAGAGTATTATCAGAATGCGTCTCATGTGGACAACGACTGCAGACAAGGGCTTGGTCGTTGTGGGAGGCAATCCGGGTGCTCCTCGGGACGCGGGCCCGTATTCCCACCGAGGAGCAGGAGTGGGGCGTCCCGGGTGCCAAGATTTCCCTCGCCCTTGGAGCGGGGGTGTGGGGGTGGGGAGTAGGGCCTTTAGGCCACTTCACGAGAAAGCTTCCAAAGACCCAGCCGGCTCTGCGCCCTCTGATGGCCGAGCCGGGAAATGCCGGGGCTGGGGCTGCGGGGGCGCGGGGAACCGCGCGGGGGGAGGAGGTGGGGCAGGGGAGGTGCTTCCTGCCGGGGCGGAAGCGGCGATGGCCGCGGCCGCGCGCTCTGCCCGCCTGCCCGAGGGGGCGGGGCCGGGTGGGGGCGGATCCCGCGCCGGCGCAGTGAGGCTCCTCGGCGCGCGCGGCCTCCTCGCCTCCCGCCCTCGCTCGCCGCCTGCCTTTTTCTGCCCGCGGCGCCATTGCCGGTGCGTGCGTGCCTCGCGCTGAGCCTGCCCCGCCGCTTCTCCTCTTCCTCGGGACCATGGCCACCGACTCGTGGGCCCTGGCGGTGGACGAACAGGAGGCGGCCGCCGAGTCGGTGAGTGGCCGCGTCTGGCACGGAGGGGAGCGGCGGGGGGGGTCCTGGAGGGCGGGGGGCGGCTCCCGGGCAGCGTGAGAGCCCCCGAGCCGGCGGCCGGCACCTCTGGGCCCGGCCCAGCCCGCGGCGGTCCGTCCTCCGCGTTAGTGCCCCAAGCCCTTTAGAGGTGCCGAGTTCAGATCCTGCCTCTGCTTGGCCTGTCACACGCCCGGCAGAGCGCTTCACCTCGCAGCCTCAGTTTCCTCTTCTGTAAGATGATCATCATAATGGCACCGGCCGCAGAGGACCCAACTGCAAAGCCTTAGCCAGCCCGCCCCGGGCTTCTACCGATGCCTCGTCGAGCTTTCACTTGCAACGAAAACATTGAGGCAAAATGGCCTTAATTTCTGCCGAATGTGCCACATTCCACCCCCCCACCCCCACCGACAAGAGGGAGGGGGTGTAGTCACCAGCTGCTCTCCTCCATGGCCGTTACTATCAAGCGAACATCTTGTAAAATCTGACTCTTGAGGCGTTTAGAAAATCGCCACAAATGTATGAGGCAAGGCCATTCTCCGTTAGATAAGTGGGCACAAGATATGAGCCGGTGCTTTATATGCCTTTTTTTCCCCAGTACTATCAACCATCATGCAGAAAAAAATATTCAAATCACTAAGAGAAAATACAGATTTTTTTAAACGCTGAGGTTTCATCTCATGCCCATTAGCAAACATGGTAAAAGATAGGAACAGTCTGTTTTAAAGGATTCTTGTGATTTTTGTCTAATCTGGAAACGTTATTAGAATTTGCACAACCTAACCTAGTAATTCTTCTACTGGGATTATTCCCCAAGGAGACAAAAAGAAAGGCCCAGTACATAACGGGGGCTTCTTACCAGCCGTTTTTGTGGTAGCAAAAAAAAAAAAACCGAAACAAAGGACACGATAGGTGGAGATGCGCGCGCGCGCGCGCGCACACACACACACACACACACACACACACACACACACACACACACACACGCACACACACGCCATCCCAGCCACCATGTTTTAAAGAAGAGCAGTGAAGAAAATGGGGAGAAACTGGGAGCAAAGAAAGCATAATGACTACAGTAATGTAAATGAAAATGACATTGAAAGGTGGCTGATGGAGATTAAGTGCAATGGACCAATATTGATTTCAGAAAACAGATGATGAAAGACTCCTCCCTCTTTATGGCATAGGGGGTCTCAGGGGGAGGCACCTTATTGGTTAGTTTAGCTGAACTGTTTCCCTTTATTGATCTGGAGGGTTCTGACAGGGGGTTGGGGAGGGTGGACTGACTGAGGTCACTTTCCGTCTTCAGATCTGTGCTCAGCCTTCTCACTTCCTCATCTGACATCCATCAGTTCCACCCAGGCTGCGCTTTAATGCCACCTCAAGAGGCTTTTCTCGATTTTCACAATACAGTCATCTGTCTCCCATCCTCAGTCCCCCAAACACATACCACAATTACTTGGTGTTTATTTTGTATTTAATCATATATTTGTATGTCTCCTCAGAGGTAGACACAGTACTGGACACTTAGAGGGAGCCTGAGAAATGGTTGAGGAGTAGAAATGATTGGGATATAAAAACCCCCACAAAAATGTAAAAAAATAATTGAGCTCATGTTGAATGCCTAGCTGAGCATCAGCTGTAAGAGAGTAACTTAATGAGGTACCTAGAGCTGGGAATTTGGGAATTTCTTGTCTAATGATGCAGCATGAAATTATTTGCAACATTGAGTCCCTTCCTTTAGGCTTGTTTTTGAATCTCTTGTTGAATCTGTGAAGTGAACCTTTAGTTCTGGCATCATGTGTGGTCCTGAGTTCATGTCCAAGCTTACTTTGTCTGCAGATCTGTTTCTGCAGCTCTATAGATGAGTTTTTGTCAAATTTACCTACTTGAGACTTGCCTTTCCAGTGTAGACAGTTTGTGGTGCTTTAAAGGTAATGAGGTTGTTTCTGACTTTGCTCCTAGGTGTAGAGATACTGAAACGGCCAGTCTAAAACAATATATTTTACTGATAGGGGGCTTGAATTGAATTTGTTGACTTATTTATAAAGTCAGAGAAGACTGGCTAGTGAGTAGTTGTGTGTAAAAAGCAAGTGGTTTTAGTCTGTTTTGGCCAAATTAGAACAAGAACCATACTTTTCTAGTTAACTTCATCCCGATTACATATAGTATTTTCATGAACTCTCCTTGAGTATTAAATTCTATTCATGAAGAAGTTTAGACTCATTAACAGCTTGGTTTGTTAGCTGAATGGTCCTTCCCTCAGAAACAAAGGCAGACTTTAAAGCTACTAACTCAGTAAGTGTTGAAGGAGGTGTTCGTAGCTCACTAAAGCAGAGTATCTGGTGTTGGTTGCTTTGGGGATCTGACTTCTTTGTACGGGTATTTCCGTGGCCCTAAAGGACTATCAGAAATAATTATGACAAGCTAACTGCCTCCATACTAGTACAGTATTATGGTAAAAGTTTCACAAGTTAATTATTTTTGACAGCAAAATTTGATTTAACACTGGAGTTCAGGTGCAGGGCAAACCATCTAAAAGTTGGGCAGACATTGGAAAAACTAGCAGCAACAATGTTGCCGACTTTTGTATCAGAAATTAAGTATTTGTTGTTCAGATCTGCAGTGAGGCAGTTTTGTTGAGTCTGTGGAAGCTAATGTTCTTGAATATAGAAAGATCACTTTATTGACATCTTGTATATCTTTTTCTGTTTCTTTGAAAGATAGAACTTTTATGTTCTGCAGAATTCCTTAGTTTTCGCAAAATGGGTGCTCTGTAAGTGTACTTGACAAACATTTAGGTCAACTAGAAATGGGCGTAGAATTTTGTTCTAGAGCCAGCGCCTGGGAGTTTAAAATACGGAAATTATCGGTCCTTTCTCCCTCCCTCCCTTCTCCTTCCCTTCCCTCTCTTCCTGTTGTCCCTCTCCCCCTTTTTCCTCCCTCTTTTCTTCCTTCTTTCTTACTTTCTTGATTAAGCAGAAAGAAAGAATGTTGGGTATTTGGGGTTTCTAGATTTCTGATAGATTCTAGGTGTGCCAAACTACTAAAGTTTCTGAATTTGAACCATGAAAAGAGGCCTATCATTTCAGTTTGGTGAAAGATTGAATGTTGGGAGGGGGAGAATTAATTGCTGTTTGTTCTTCATTCTCGAAGAGGACCATGACATGAGGAAGGTGACGCCATGACATGCAAATGAATTTGATGTAAGTGAGGGAGGGCTGTGCATAGTCATCAGCCCCACTTTCATCTCTGGAACCATCGTGACAAGTGAAAATGGCCCAGGATGCAATAGGGGACCTTGCCCTTTTCAAGCTTAGGAACTTAACTGGTCTCTGTTTGACTGAGGCAAAGCCTATTCAGTAATTAAAGACTAATAAGAAATGAAGCAAAGAATGGCCTCTTTAAAAAATTTTGATATATAGATATGGGGAGGGAAGACCCTCAGGGTTTCTGGCCAAAACAGAAACAATTGCTTTTTACTTTCTTTCTGAGCCAGTGCGGGCCCAAAGGATGACCAAATGGGGCCTATTATTGGCCAGTCAATGAGAGCCAGAGTGATTTGGGCTTAAGGCTGGCCTTTAAGAGAAAAGGAGGGAAAAAAAAGTTAGAGAGATTAAAAATTCACTTTCCCTTTGGGCAGAGCACTCACAGGTAAGGGTGTGATAGATACCTATGTGGTCAGAGGGAAAGAAAAGAAAGAAGGAAAGCTAGGGGGCCCAACTAGCCAGCTCCAGCTTGGTTCCCAGTGGGCAGCTCCTTTTGTAACTCACAGGGGTTGCTGTTTGTCCTTAGTTCTTGAAGAGAACTGCCTTAATTTTAGACTACGTTCTCAGAATGTTTGCAGGCTGAAAAAGACCCCAGCATCCTGGGACATTTTACTCTCTCAGTTTATTGGTTAGTAAGATGTATTTGAAACCAACTCTGTTTTAGTTCCTAAATGGTTTTATCTGTTAGTGACATTGTAAGGAAAGGAAATTAAAGAAAGCTGTTCAACTTTTACTTTTTGTTATTGTTTTAGTGAGCAGATGTTTTAAATGAATGAGAGAGCCTTTACTTATTTTTCTTATTCTCTGCTTCTTTTATAAGGGCCTTGTGGGCTAAATGCATCTTTTATTCTTCTTTCTCCTCCCCCCTCCCTCTTCTTCTCCCTTTCCCCTGTTACTGATCAGCACAGAAACTTTTAACCTTCGAACTTTTTCCAATCTGGGCCAATTGGCTTCTCTTTTGGCATCCTGGTGGCCCTCTGCCCCTCCTAGGAATTCACCATACTGGTATCACACCTGGCAGTCATTAGCCTTACTTGGGACCTCAAGTGATCCATTAGTCTCACCTGCCCTGGTCAGACATTTGTTATGTGCCTACCAGGTGCCAGGTACTGCAGCAGGGAGTGCAGATGTGTGCCACTGTTGCTGTTTAGGGTTGCTGGGAAACCCTAAATGTCCGGGTACAGAGAGGGCGTCATCCGCCTGGAATGAATTCATGCACTCAAATTTTACAGTCAGTCAAATGACAAGGTTTATTGTAACCCCTGTAGTAGCAGGCAGGGTTCCTAGTGAACCTGCAACTTAATGGGGGTGAGACTGATGCTTGTGTACAAAAAGGGATAGTGAAAGGATGTGGATGGGATTAAGGAATGGTCAGTAAGTGCTAGTATTCTGGGGTGGGCCAGGCGCCTTGGGCAGAGGCAGGAGTGATCTGGGCTGCTGAAATAAACATGTGAGAAAATCCAAGGACTGGGTTGCTTTCAAAGATACGGTCTTTTCTTTTTAGGGGTCCATGTCCTATCACTCCATCACCACCACACATCTAAATGTGTTTTTCACACAGACACTGAATCTCATAAAAATTAAGTGATAATTGACTTAGTTCTGCTTATTTTAGTAATGTGGGATTTAGAACTGGAAGAGACCTTAGAGTTAACCTAGTTAGTTCAACCCTCTCATTATATAGATGAGGAAACTGAGGCTTAGGGAGCTTAA